CGAGAGCTACGCGCAGTACAAGGAGCAGGACGCGCTGTGCGCTGCGCTGCGGCACGCGCTGGGGGTGATGATCACAAGCGCCGCCCCGAGCGACGCGCTGCAGCGGGTTTTCGCCGAGTACCGCATGCTTCTGGAGGCGGAGGGACTGCTCTGACGCGTTGTGGCGAGGCAGAGAGAGAGAGAGAGAAAGAAATGCGCCTATGGCATTCACAAGGAATCATGAACACTGTGTGGAGCATGAGTTGCTCTGTTCTGTTATTTTTCGTTGCTTATCGTGCCTTCTCTCTCTCTCTCTTTCTTTCTTTCTTTCATTGTGGTATTCTTACGCGCCTAGGGGGTATATTGGCCTTGCCCTCCTTGACCTTATTCTTTGTCTTCGAGTTGAAAGGTGAGAAATGGCGGGACCGTATTCACGTGCAATGGACGATGCGAGGGGCTGCAGCATCGGTGGTGCATTGCGCTGCCAAACGGAGGGCTATGAGCCGCATCTCACGGCGGTAGATGCAATTCGTATTCAGCGGGAGCTGAAGTACCACGACTGTGAGCCCATCGCCGCTGAGCGAGACGGCCGAATGTTCGCCGCGGAGTATGCGTCGCCGTGGCAGCTGCTGCGACGAGTGGCGACAGCCGGTGACTCAACGAGTACGCGCCACCACCAGCAGAGGGGGCGACGGCGCACGAGGAGGCGTTCATCTCTCTCGCTGCTGAGCTCGCCCTACTGCCGCGCAGAGCCGTACGCCACCACTAACAAAAACCGGGGAACAGCACGGTCCCTCGTCGTGAGGGAGGAGAAGGAGCTGCTGTTCCCAAGCATTGCGGCGAGGCTGGAAAACGACATCGCGCTTGGCCTCGCCGTGTCGCTGTGGAAAAGCGGCAACGTTGTGGGACAGTGCGACGATCGCCTTGCCCATCTCCTGGTGCTTTCCGCCACCATTATGCGGTGTGCACGAGCTGAGGTGCGCAACCACAACAGCGGCGAGGGACATGTCCCGGTGGAGCTGCGCGAGGCGTTCATGGGTGTTATTGAGCACCTTGTCCGCTTGGAGCGCGTCGCGGTGAAGTCACTACTGCTGACGCCTCCCAAAACGCGGCGGCAGCAGGGGCATGAGCAGGAGCAACAAAGCCCGGGATCATTGGCGGAGCTGCCCTGTGGGGAGGGTGACGCGAAGGTGCAGCCGGTGACGTTCGCCGTCGCCGTGGACGGAGCGGCGCGCGTCCTCAAAGGCTTGGTGGAGCCCTCCACACTTGCTGCGGCCGCAGTTACCCCCACATGGCGCTATTCTCTTGTCCGCACCGCCGCTGATGTGCCGAACCGCTACGAGATTCTTGACGCAATGACGTGTGTGATGCGGCCGGGCCCGCGCCTCATAATGCGCCGCACGTTCTGCGCCGTCGCGCGACAGTTGGCGCTAGATGTTCTGCGCGCTGCGGGCGACGGCACGGTGGGGCTTCGCGGTGGTGCAGCCGCGCTGCGCATCCTGCAGCATATCAACACGCGCCCGCTTGGCCTCA